GTGGTAAGGGGGAAAGAGGGAGCAAAGGAAGAAGGGAGAGAAAGAGAGCCATGGGTATATTTTCAAGAAGGTGAGAGGAAAGAAGTGAATGTGGGAGAATGGCAATTTTAGAAAGTGCAGGTATGTGAAAGAAAATTTCCCCCCTACTCTAAAGGTTCAAGTCTAAGCCTGCTAAAATGAATTGAAAATAAAAAGATTAGTAGGAAAAAAAAAAACAATAACAAATGTATTAACATGTATAAGCATAGGAGTCATACTCAAAGTATGAGACCGAAAGGGTCATGCTCAGCCTGGAGGCACAAACAGTAGCAAACTGAATTTCAGCACTAGAAGCCACGTGACTGACCACGGGTTCAGATCCCCTGGTTAGGCTGAAAACATGCCAAGTGTGTGCCCAGGATTCTGAGGAGCTGGAGAGCTGGGGAAAGGAGATCATGACATGAAGAGACTCTGTCAAGGGTACTTCTTTCTTTTGCACACTATCATGAATAAAACAATCAATAAAAACAATGAATAAAGATAAATAAAAATAAATAGGAAATTAAAATTTAAAGGAAAAAAAAAAAAAAAGAAGAAGAACCAGATGGCTGAATCTTAAATACCCTCTTTATATGGGAAAGGGAAATGAGGGGAGAGAGATGGTAGACAATTTTAGATGGTGGTAGTAAATGATTTTTTAGGATAAACGAATTAGCCTGAGTGCAAACAGTGGCCTAGGACCAAGTTCTTCTGGGCTCTAGGTGAGATGAACTCTGGTTTCAAGTCTCTTCCTCTATGACAGGAGTTTGATCTTCCATGGTTAACAAAATGTTAGGAAGAAAGTTGAAGGCAATTGTGTTTTTCTTTGGCGAATCTGGTCTTCAGTTGATAAGAACACCTAAGAGAAAAGCCTCTCTCTGTGCTTTGGGAGAGACAATGGGACAAGAGACAGAGGTGAGGTGAAGCCAGAGGGAGACTTTGGTTCCAAGGCTGTTTCTGTAATTCAACATATCAAACCATCATATTTTGCATCATTTTCTGAGCAACAAAAGTATGGCTGTGATCCACACATTTCCCTCACAGAGTTTAAGAATTGTAAGCAAAGAATGATAATGTTTTTAGAAATTGCTTCTTAATTGCTGGAATGGAGTTCTGTGATTTTGACTCCACTCTGTGTGTTCCTTTGGAGTAACATCACTTTGTATCCCTGAGAGCACCCGAACTCGCTGCCCTTGCTGTGGGTCTCTCTGTTCCTCACTTGCCCTTTCCTTCTGTCTTTGTCTCTCCGAGTCTTAGATTTCTCATGGCTCCCACAAGACATCACCAGGCCCACTGAGAGCCCTGGGGTAGGGAGGTCCCTTTTGATTCTAAGGTCCCTGGTGCCAGTTGAAAGCCTCCAACCTTTTCTTTTGAATCTTCTCTATCCTTTTTCCTCTTCCACCTCTTCTCCTTCCCATAATATCATCCAATCACTCCATATCTCTAACAGGTGACCCCAAATAAAACCTGCCATTTATTGAGAATTTACCATGCTGTGCTAAGCTTAGGCATATATTAACTCACCTCATATTCACAACTCTTGGGTACTATTATTATCTTTATTTCCAGCTTCATAGAGTAATTAAGTAATCTTTTTCCAAAGTCATGTCACTAGTACGAAAGGGGTCATGCCAGGATTTGAATGCCTGTCTACTTGACTCCAAGTTAATAATCTTAAGCTTTGTGCTAACCCCCCCAACTCTCTACTTACACCTCTTCCTTTTCTCCTGAGTTCCAAGTTAAATTTCTTCCTGGAAATAGCATTGGCTCCTAGAATACAGTATGTTAAAAGCCACCAACCTACTATCAACTCACCGAATCTTGACTTGACTCTTATTGACACCATTTTTGTCTTGGAATCTTGGGTTTTGTTTGACTCCCCTCTTATCAAAAATCTCCCACACTGAAGGAGTCAGTACTTACAAATTTTACTTTTGCATTTTTTCCCAAATTCACTGCTATTTTTCCTTTCTTGCTGCCCCCTACTTTTAGTAGACTCCTACAGTCTCTCACTTGAACTTCTGCCACAATTTTCTAACTAGTCCTTCGCACACCACCATCATAATCATTCCCCTAGAATTAAAGCCCCAACGCCCATTGCTCAAGTGTAAACTTTTTAGTGTCTACTTGGCCCATGGAATAAAAATTAAAATGGCCTCCACAACGTTTTCCTTAATATAGCTACAAGTCACCTTTTCCATCTCCTCTCTTTCTGGATTGTCCTATACGCTTCTTGTGCTCTCCTGTCTATCACAACAGCCTCCTCTTCCATGAAGCACCTTCAGAATTCCTGTAGTTTGACCCAGTCACCCTCGACCCTCATGATGTGTTCTCTGTAACTTTGGTGAGGCGTCTCTAGACTGTGACTGCTAGAAGCCCTAGTGCAGATCCTCTTCACATGGCCCAGTACAGTGCCCTCCATAGCAACATCCCTAAACCTCCTTTCATGTGCTAAAATGGGAATTCTGAACACCAGCCAAAGAATAGACATGAACTCCCTTTCTATGGTGATACTGAACATCAACCAGCCAACTGGATGGTTTTTACTGATAGCAGTTGACTACCTATCCAGCTGAGAAGAAAAATTAAAGACTAAGTCCAAAATGCAGGAAATAATCTCATCAAAGAATGTGCTTAAAACTAGATGAATACACTTGCATGATTCAGTAAATATAGCAAACATGGAATTGTACACTTTAAATGCATTGTGGGAATTATATGTCAATAAAGCTGTTAAAGGGTAAAGAGATGGAGATTTTACAATATTTTTAACTCTAACATGTAGGGCTTTTGTATCGTTTCTGGACATTCAGTACATGTTTGGGGGAATAGATTATTTACAGAAGTAGGCTGCCGTTTGGTTTGTTTCATCATTGCCTCCACCACTCCGAACTCTTACAGCAGACCTAGCTCCTCAGTCTGTGACTCTCCCTGCTGTGTCTATTATAGAGCCTCCAACAAAGACTACTTAACTGAATGGTCTCCAGAGGGTAGTCAATGCTCACACTATAAAGAGGTACCCTCAAAAAGGACATGAGAGAATGGGAGGTTAGCCTTGGGAGGAGGGAGCTGAATAAAGAAAGAACCTAGAAGCAGGGCTAGGACAGCCCCTTCCCAGCCCTCTTGCTACCCTCCTGAGAGTATGCTGTCTTCTCTGCCACACACACACACACACACACACACACACACACACACACGGGGTTGTGGATGAAGCTGAGCAGGGTGTCCCCTGCACAAGGGTGTGGGAAAAGAATTCCGCCAGTGCTTCATTTGACAAGCCTTGAGCTGTCTGGGAAATGGTGCTTTCTCTGCAGTTTGCACCAGAGCACCGTTTCGCTGGCGGCAGCCATGCTTAAGCCACACTTCTACTTTGGCCCCTTAAAACACAACCACCATGAATAAACTTCGAGTTGGTTTCTGTCCCACATAAGGAAACTCCCAGACTGCACAGCCCTCACCTACCTGAACCTGAAGGAGGAGCCACACCTTAGATCCTAATGGAGAAGGACGCTCCCTTTTGGCTTGCATGTCAATGTGGACTATCCTCATCAAACTTCAAAATGGAGCCCTCTCCCTATTCTAGGAATGAAAATAGGCCTTGGTAAAGCTGTCTCCATTATCCTTCACAGCAGTTTGCCGTACACAGCATTAAAATCTGTTCATGTGATGCCAAATAGCTGGTCAATTCATTAAAAATGCAGTCATTCACACAGACCTTTGGTCTTCACACAATGCCAGTCACCAGCCTGACAAACTTGACCAAATGGATTCAGTATTTTTGGGTCATGAAGCCCTGGTCTGTAATAAGAGGGTGTAGGAGATAGGAAAGAAAGGGAAATGATAAAAGGGGGTTTGAAAGCAAATAATACTATTGTCATTAGATTCTTAGGCATCGCTCTGGATGCTTGGATTAATGCCGCCTTTTCTTTTCTAAAAAAGCAGAGTGGGAAGTCCTCTGAGCCCAAGCCCCCACCTCCTTGGCAACTTGCCTCCCAGTGGGCCAGCCCCCTCCCACCATATCCTGGGTCAGAACTAACCCGGGGAGAGGGCTGAGAATGTGTCAGAAGAGGGGGACACGACCAAGCGGTGAGAATTAGAGCCCTCTGCGAGGAGCAAGGGATAATGCAACCAAATTCATTCACCAGGGAGTTCTTTAAGTGGCTCTCAAATGGCACCCATCACACAGGCAAGCCTCCGCGTCTTTGCAGCAAGCACAATAGGTACCAGATGAGTCACAGGCACCTTGGATTTTTCGTTTGCATCTAAATAAGTACTTTATATTTGCAAAGGGCTTTCCAGTCATTTGCAAAAAGCTTTCTTCTTCAACAACTCCACAAGGGTAGTCCACAGAACTAAAGATTTATTGAGCCCCCTGTCTGACCAAATAAAAGGTGCTGAAAGCAGCCCTCACAGAGCTCTGGGGCTCATTAAACTTGGGCGGGAGTTAGAGTCAGGCCCTCCACCCAGGCCAGCTTCTTACCTCCCCCACTACCAGCTTCCTCCAGACACCCTCATCGGTCCCGCGTGCACACACACATCTTCCACCCTGGGACTGGGCTTCGGGATGCA